GGAATTGATTGCGCGGCTAAGAACCCGACTCTCCCCCATTTTCCCGTGGATTTCCTACCGATCTTTCCCCGACTGCCGGTTGTAGCGAACAATTTCCGTTCGTCGTACGACGCGCTTCCGGCGTACGCACGCGAGACTCGAGACGAACGTCACCTTTGGTAATGAAGGAAAAAGGGATCGCTCGGAGCGAGACTCGAATGGGGGATGTTTTTATCGTCGAGCGCGTTGCACGCTTATGTAACGTTTGTGTAACGAGTTGTGTCGAAAGTTCGCAGCAACGGCCAGCGATTCTTTCTCCCTTGTTTTCCCTTTTTCACCGAGCGTAATCAGAGCTCGAGTTAAAGGAAACGGGAGATTGAGAACTCGCTCTTCTCGCCGGTGCCGTTTGATAATAAATTAGCTGCCGAGAGAGAGAGAGAGAGGAGGAGAAAGCGAAAGAGCGGGTCGGTTAAAGCGCACGAAATCACTCTCATAAATCAAAGAGAGTAACTCTGATCCACGTCGAAAGCGAGAGAGTGAGAGGGGTTGCGAGAGCATTGCAGAACGGCGCTTTGAAAGCGCAACTCGTCGCAATTAACCTTCCGAGGTCTATTTCGCGCAGCGCTCGCCGCGGTCTCTATGAAATACACCGTGCGTCGACGGGCTCTCCGTGAAATCAGCGAGCTTTTAACCGTCGAATTCTCATTTGTTTCCTTTCCCTCCAACCGGCCGGAATACCGCGAACAGAGGCGTATTCTCGGCTGACGCGTCGCGAGTTCGCCGCGAGGAAACTTTTTTTCCGGACGGAGAGCGCTCGCCGTCTCGGGATGCTAACGAATCCTCTCGTCGTCGCGCGAGACGCGGGCGAGATTAAAGAGCGCGAGCACGCAACATCGTTAGCCGCGAGTGCGCGACACATTCGTATGCAAACATCGCCGCACGCGCCGGTCCGATGTCCCCGAGGGTGCCTAAAGATAGAAACGTGCGCGGCCGAGAATACACTCTCGCTCGCGCCGCAACCGCGTTTCAAAAGCCCCCGCAGCAGCGCGTCGCGAACGGAGTAATCCCGCTCATTTCATGCTAATTCTCAGATCACGGGGCACTTGGACCGCGCCAACGAAGCTTCGCTAACGATGCTCCGCGATAATCCCTCTCTTTCTCTCTCAATAGCATTCTTTGAGGATATTTTTCAACGGCATTTCTTGCCGCGAGAAGAACAGACGGTAGCCAGCTCGAGCATACTCGAGTAAAGCGAATACATTTTTTTTTCATTCGGATGAACAGTCCACTCCTCGCGCGGACGCTCTGAAAGCCGATGCCGAGAACGGCTCTACGCCATTTAATCCCGATTGCTTCAGGCAAAGCACCATGCTCGCTCGGCCGTTATACTCCGCGAAACTCGAATCGCGCTAATAACGTTAACGGAGAGAAGAGTTTCGCGTGCGACAGTGGAGCTTTGCCCTTTGGGCAAAAAGATTGAACTACCGGGGGCTGTCTGTTCGTCGAGAGAGAGAGAGAGAGGGGTAAGTGGAAGAGGACAGAGGCAAACGTACTAAAAATGATAGACGATGCTGTGAATATGTGTGTGTGTGTGTGCTCGCGCTTTATTATGTTAACTTTCTTCTCCCATTCGTATTTCAACTTTTTTTCTTTCCCTGTTTCGTCCCGTTCTTTTCCTGCGTCATTTCTTCTTCTATCTGTCCTCCGTCGAACGCGCAAATTACGCAAGTCTCGTCCGCTTGATCAATCATTACGTGAGCCACGCCGTTCGCGCTCGCAATAATCGCGAGTTATCGTCTGTTCGTACGATAATATATAACGCATTCGGCATGTATCGTAGAGACAATGAACGCGATTAATTATTGACGAGTCGCAGCGAGAATACGGGAGCGTGTTTCCTTTTTACACCGTGTTATTAACTTCAGCATAATTAATTGAAATTATTAGTTATTAGTAATCCAGCCCAGTGCGCCCCAATGTGTCACTCTTTCGCCGTAATGGCTAATGGCCATTGTAAATAACGTTTACACCGATAACTAACGATCAATATTACATCGTGTTCTATTTGCTTCTGCGCACTGGCTGTGTTTCTCCACGGCCGGTGTTACACGTAAAGCCATATTAATGTTAATTGATCAACACTGTTGATTACGTCGATTGAATTTAATGAGCGCTGATTTATTTATACCGGCCATTGATTAACGCGACTGTCGAGAAAGTTGAAGGCGTGTGTGCAAAATTAAGAGACGCCTGTGAAAAATTCAGGGTCTCGATGCGCGCTCTTTTATTCTTGCGAAAAACAGAGAGGAGGGAGAACGCGCGATGAAATAAATCACGCGTGCGTTGTGTGCGTGCAGGTGTCCCCGTGAATGTGTGTTAAACATATATAGATGTGAATTCGGCCGCGCGTGTTGAGAATTATTTTATCTGGAATTTTTGAAAAACGCACCTGAAATTTCACGGGGTGCAGCGACGCGAGAAAATCAAATTCCACGCAGGAAATAGTAATTCGACGAGTTTCGGTCGGGCCGCTCGAAAAAGAAATCTATCACAAAGATCGATACGCCCGTCCGTCGGCCTAGCCGGACAACAGATTGTGTCACCGAGACGTCATCCATACACCCGCGTGTGTATACACATGTGTACAAAACATATATATGTATATACCCTTTGATACTTTCAACCGCGGCGCCGCAGATCGACGGTAACTCTGAACGGCCGCGATATTGCTGGAAATGCAATTCGAGCACTTGCCTCGGACACTCTAATCCACTTTGTATCACTAGGGATGAGAATAAAAGTGGACAAAGAGCACGAAGGAAGGCGAGCACGAGTCGGCGCTGTGTGCGTGATGCATGCGTGCACGTGTGCGCGTGCAAGACGACCTCCTCTCTATATCCGTTCGAGTTTCCGTTTTCTCTCTCCCGACATTATCGTCCCTTCGATCTCTCCCAAGTTCACCCTAATCCGCCCCACGGGCTCTCGAAGACCGTGTGGGGGAGCTACGAGGAACACGCGCACGCATGAAACTCGACTCTTGGCTCGAAGGTGCGGACGTTCTTCCACCTTGCGAGATGCCGAGCGATCCGTTCGGGGCGGCGAAAGGAGAGGAAAAGGAAGATAAAAGGAGATTACGGTGGTTACGTATTCCATCACGGAGTCCACACCTGTCGCTGAGTCCTACTCGAGGATGTCGATAGCTGGCGGCGCGATCAATTCTTAAAACAAATAGCCCGATCGTCCTAGTTCGCGTAGCTCGTGGCCGCGCGGAAAAATGAGATACTTTCTCGCTACGGCAGATACTCGTCCCCTGAAGTATTCATTCTTCCGGTTCGACTGCTCTCTCCTTCTTTCTCCCTTCCCCGTATCTCGCGTGCATAATAGATATGCGCGTGTCCAGCAGGAGACGAGCGACCGGAAAACGTGTTTCGGACGATGACCATAGTTAGCCAAGATTTCCCGCGGCGTTCGTCTCGTTCGCACCGCTCATAACGCGCGAGTCATATCCCGCTGAGTAAAATACGATCGCATCGACGACCTGCTTCCTATCGTCTCTTTCCCCCTTGCTCCCGTCCGCGTTTTTCCTTCCCCGCGACCCGAAACAACAAGCGGGAGTGATCGGCCATTGTTAAGAAATTCTCTCGGTCTCTTTTTTTTCATTTCGCTCCTTGAATTCCCGCACCACCCTCGATACAGGGAACGACGTCTCATCACGTTCGGATGGTTCGAATGGGCGCAAACGGGTTACGAGATCGTGACGGACGTAGAAATGGACGCTAGTGGTCGGGCGTGTTTTCTGACGTCTCCCGCGACTCCAAGTTAGACGTCGGTTTTAACGTCGAGCACCCAGGAGCAAAATATACCGGGCGGAAACACGACAACGACGACTATGCTGGGTGGCGACCGGGACGAGAAAGGTGAAAGAGACGAACGAACGACAGATAGATATCAAAGAAGCGACTCGCTCGACGGCGCTTGCAGACGCGGAGTGCCCAACTCGCTCGTTTTCCTTTCCAGAAAATAAGAGGAGCCGGAGAGAATTGAGGAAGCGGGAGGAATGGTGATATTCTAGGTCGGAGATGTACCGAGGCACGTTCGCACACCCGCGCCCGCGTACACATCGTACACCCGAGAGTGGAACGAAGAAAAAGCACCGGGCGAGATAGGAGTACAAAGGGAGAAAGGAGAGACGCCGTTTCCTGCCTTGTGTACCGCTTATTAATATACCTTTCGAGCCACGCGAATTGCGACCGGTGGTACCACGACAATTGCCGCCGCATCGTGCATCCCGGAGGATCTCGCGAATTGCGTCTCCCGTTGCGAACCGTTGCGATACCTCGGTTATAACAACGTCGACGTTATTACGGCTGCCGGATCAGTCAGATTTTATATTAGAACGTTTAACAATCGTGCTTTGCGTGTAATCAAGTCAATCAGTGAAAAAGCCGCACAAGTGGGAGAATAAATAAATAAATAAATAAATAGAACGTTGTATCACTTTGTGTGACAGATATTAAAAACTCCCACATATCTTTCTTGTCGATTATTAGGGCCATCATCGCTCTAGAATGTTTTATAATTACTTCAATCGAACCAATAAATGAAAAAGCTGTGCTAGAAATGCAAAAATAAGAGAACTGAGATACACAATAGCATCGATGTTTTATAATTACTTCACGAACGGTCAAGTGGATCGGCGCGAAAAAATCGTACCGGAAGTAAAAAAAAGCAAAAGAATTGAAATATATGACCCACGTGTCCTTCCCTCTTTCTTGTCGGCTATTAGAGGCGTCCCCCCAAGTCACGACCCCGACACGTCAACGACAGTTTCTCCGGCTGGAACCCGTAGAATCCGGCGACTTTTCTCTCGAGCGAACGATTACCCCGACCGGGGTTGGATCGCCGCCACTCGGGCAACACGGCTGAACGCAGGCTCACGCCGTCGAGGGGTTGTGTACGGCGGCGCTCGGCGCCGCAGCCTCAGTCAGCCCTGCGCCGTACGGGCGAGACGACGAGGGAAGGAAGCGCGCTACCGCTTCGTCGTCGCGCGACGCGACGTGACGACGAGCGCCCGTCCGCGCGAGAGCTTTAGTCCGCGTCCGCACGTCGGCTGAAACGCGACCGAGCCACGACCACGTCCGTGTCAAGTGTGCGCGGCTACCTCTAGTCATTCTCGGTCGGTCCCCCTTCGGCGCGCCAAACCCTTCGAGAGTCTTCTCTCCTGCGGAAGGATCCAACACAATAAAGTCCTCGGTTCCTCCTCGGCCTCTTGTCCTATCGCACCGTCGTGTCAGTCACTCTCGACGTCCCTCCGCGAGATCCCATTCTACGAGAGATGCCCCGCGATCCCCTTTGAGAGAGAATGTCTCGTGGCAGGAGGATTAAGACTGGCGGAAATTCGAGATGTAATATCCGGCAGCCCTAGTTACACGTACGGTGTGTGCGCGCCTTCCTGCCGTCGAGAGTCGCAGCGGGCTGCGGTACAACGAGGTCGGCACGCTTTCGGGGGAGAGCAGGACGTCTCGCCTCGCAGGATTTTGGATTCGATCCGGCGACGGAGGTGCGTTTCTGAGATTCTATCGTCTCGATTTCGTTGCTCGTGCGGCAGGTAGCGCAATCAGCTGGCGCAGGTGAACTGACGCAGTTTCAGCTATGCTAAGCGACAGTAGTAATTCGCGACCTTCTCAGTAATGAAAATTGTTTTAGCAGTATTATCGCACAATTTCCTCTCTTTGCCACTTATTTCGATTCATTCCTGGTTCATCGGAATTAGAACTTAATAATACCGTAGTTGACGGTGTGACGTGTTTCAGAAAAAAGTCATCAAGTATTTTTACTCTCTCTTTCTCTTTCAATTTGAATACTTTTAACGTATTATTTCTCTACAATAGAGAGAAGAGAATCTTATTCATGACGTACAGGACAGGTTTAAATTCGTCACCGCCTCGTAACGCGCGAATTCTTATCTCACGATGAAACTCGCGACGTCTTCGGAAAAGAAAATACTTATAAATGAATTATTATCAATTTAAATATATTAAAGTTAACAGAGGGGAAGAGAAAAGAGAGCTACTTTCACAGCTCAGGGTCGCAACAAGTTTAAATTCAACGCGGTCCTCAGCAGCCCGTCGAGGATATCGCGAAAAGTTATCTCCGACAATGGCTACAAGAATATTATTCCCTTGTCTCCCATCCTCTCCCCCTCTCTCTGTCCCTCCTTCCGCGCTCTTTGTTGAGAAATTCTCTCCTTTCGCAATTTCCACGCACCGTAGACCGTGTGTGTGGGAGGACGGTGCTCTAGATTACAACACGCGACGCGCGGCAGAGCCTTCCCTCAAACTTTTCCGTAATGAGATTTCTCAGGGAACGAAGAGGGATTACGACGCGAAGAGAGAGAGAGAGAGAGAGAGAGAGCGAAAGAGAACTTTTTGCTCGTGTCGCCCGCATCGCCACGGCGGTCCCATACATCAAACTGTCGGCCGGGATGTGTTGCAGGTGTATATGATACGTTCGGCTCAGTTGGGCACCTTTATTTCTCCTGCGAGGCCGGCCGCGATTTTTTCCCCTCGCTCGTTTTCGCGGATGCGTTACTCCAGCTGCATCAACCGCGACCCGTCACTGCTACCGGCCGGCTCGTTAGCTCCGATCGAAGTTTCCGAAGCGAGCGAAATTTAGATTTTCAGAAGCAAGCGTCTTGTTTCAACTTTCACCCTCTCGAAAGTCTTTCTTCCTTTCTTCCTCTGTCCCTTCCGTCGGAAGAGGTCTGGCACGTTAAACTTCTCGGAAGGCTCGATTTCGGTGCGCACGTGCTCGTTAAGGCTCTCCTCGCGCGCCTCCACGCGCGTGTTACACGTCACGCGTGATCGTCCCCTACAAGTTTACATTAGCTCTCGTCGGTGGGATTTGTGCCGACTCATGCTGTTTATTTGCGACGATTAACTATCGCAGGCGCTTGATAAAGTCCGGAAACGAGGCTGGCACGCACGTGACTCTGCGCCCGGCGCAGCTCGTTACAAAATTCGCCGAACTATCTCGCGCGCGAGCAGGAGGAGCCACGGTGGAAGAGGAAAAGCGGCGGATTTAACGAGCGCGCATCGTGTAAACGCGCGGGCGCGGAAGAAAAAAGCGCGCGCCCGTAATAACCGGTCCCGCGGAATATCCCGGCAAACTTTTTCGCAAATACACGACGTGGAGCCCGCCGTGACCCGCCGCGCTGTGTGCTCGCGCTGCTTTTAATTCTCATGCCATCGCCGCTTTAACCCTCCCTCAGCCCATCGGCGTGAAAATTAAATATGGAAAACGTAGAATTTGTTCTCGTTAGATTGTAGTTTATGGAGCGGCTGGGCAATTACAAATCTCGACACTTTGTCATTTTCAGCGTTTACGCTCGCGCTTTTAGCTTTCCAACTGAAGCGTTGTTGTTTCCACTTTAACATCACGACACGTGACACGATATCTCTGATTGAAATTTTAATATTGTACAACTTTTTTCATATGAATGCGCTTTTTGCCAATTCGGGGTTAAGTCGGAAGTAATGGTTTGATAATAGCGAACCGCGCGCTTCCTTGCGCGAGAATGATCGATGGCCGATTTGGAGCGATGCGTCGCGAGTCCGCAACGAGAGAGAGAGAGAGGGAAGGAGAAGAGAGGGAGATGCAGGATCCACAGTTTTTACGGCTGCCACGGATCCCTTCGTCGCGGTCGCCATGTCCAAGTTTCGCTCTGCGATTTAATTAAACTCCGACCTGCCGAAAAATCGATCCCGTCGTGGATTTTACCAGCGGTCGGCGGCATACTCCGTACGAAGCAATTCCGGCGAGACCGCCGGTCGAGTCGATTCAGCTTGTTCGTGCAGAAATCCGCGCCCGAACTGTCAGCCAGTGCCGAAAAGTTGCGGACCGTAGGGAAAACGGAGTGACGACGGCGGCGACGGCGACGACGAGGACGACAGCAGCGAGAAATTTCGCAGAACTTATTCAATCTGAATCATCGAGGCAGTTCGCAATCGAATAGGATGCCACGTCCGGCAACGATCTCTCTGACCTGCCTATATTATCTACTTAAATATTCAAATAAATACAAAAGCAAATAAGAAATAATTCAGTACAAATACTTATCCATATATCTATCTGTTTATCGATCTACCTATTTATTCAGCCACTCCCATCTCTATCTATTTCTTATTTTATCTTTTATTTAAGAAAATTTATTCTGGCACGTTGTTCCGCTAGTCGTTCCTCTCGCGAGTGTATAATGCCGGACTTAGCTTGTTCCTCAGAGATCATCAACTATGTCGTTGCGGAACGTGCAACGCTCTAAAATAATCTATTGTCGCGCCTCTTATATCGGCGCGTTATATCGCGGTACAGTCAGGGATTCCGGATAATCTCGCGACTTTGCTTCAGTAAGTAATCTATGGCCACTCGGCCACGAACGAAACGAGAGCAGGCGAGACTCCCGAGGGACGGCTCTAAGCCAGGAATGTCGCGGTGAAAAATCGTTACATCAACGGACGAATGGGTCCTGGGAGAGAGGCAGCCGGTTAAAAAGTTACAAAGAAATGCACTTGTGCACATGCTCGTCGAGAGTTCCCATTGTTTCTACATTCGCATTTTTCGTATATTCTAAAAGCCAGAATATTACTCGCATCAGGATATATTTCTCTTCCTACCTTTCCTTCTTCCTTTCTCCTGCGCGCGCGCGACAAACATTTATTTAACAGATTCGCTCCTTTTTTATCTTACGAGGCGAAACTAACCCGCAGATTTCCATGAATATTGAAGTTCTCTTCCGCCTCATTCACCGGCGCTCGTAAAATGTTCATCATCTGGAATTTCTCACACACCTCCGACCGATACTGATTAACAATTCAACGCTACCGCAAATTCGAAAAATCTACCAATCGCTGATCCTTCTCTCTCTCTCCTCCTCTTTCGTTTTGTTCTTCCGCAACGTATGTGTGTACGTATATGTTAATTAATTCTAGATTTACGTTCAATTGTATTCGTTTTTGTAGGCGTATAAATATAGGAAAGGGAGATAAATCGAGTTAATCGTGACTAATATCAATCGACACACTGGAACTACCGGAAATTTCCTTTTTCCGCGTTTAAGTTCCAGCTTATTCGTCCCAGTCATCTCGCGCACATTTGACCGTCGTATACCGGGTGACTCGCGAGCGAAGGAGCAAGATAGAACAAGAGAGAAACGAAAGGGAGAGGAAGTCCGTGGAAGGCATTCTTTCGCCTTCGCTTTATTAAACGGAGCTCGCGTCGTCATCTGGCGTGACCGTAAAGCAAACTTATCGCGCGTCCTCTCGGCACCTTGCGCGATCTCGTATTACGAGGAGGTCGGACAGGAATTAGATTCGAAACGAGGAAATTGCGGAAATTCGCCGCCTCGGCGGAAAACGCGATCGGCTTTGTCTCAGGAAACGCGAAAGGGGCGTCTTCGCCCTTTTCGTTGGACACGAGACTCTGAAATGGAAATATATATATATATATATGTATAAATCACGCCTTAATTAATTTCCGGCCTTATGCGACTGCGTGTTATACTGAACGACTCGGAAATTTCGCTCATATTTTTCTTCTCCGCGGATTTCGCTGCTCATACGAAATCTTCGGTTGCGCGCGTCTTTGCGATTTTGTCATTTCTGCGCGAAACACATCGAACGAAATTCCATCGAGGGCGAGGTTTCGTTAAGGCGAGGAGAGCGAAAGCTCGCCCAGGCGAAATTGGCGTCGATGTTATCTCGCGACGGAAATGGAAGGTGCGGTGGAAAAATCCCTTTCGTTATTTTCTGTAAGTCGAATGATGTTTGCACAATATGACGCGTTTATTACCCGTCGCCGCCACGGCAGCGGTAGCGGACACGCCGCAAATTTTCCATTCTTAAATTAGGTCGCGCGTTCTGTGACTAAGGTACGGTCGACGACGACGTTTCTCATGAATTGCAAATTTCCGTGTTGTTTTTCTCATCTTTATGGGCCGCCGCCACGCCGAGTTTAGCCGGTCTGTTTTGTTTTATCAGGAAATAAAACGTAGAGAACGCACACACACAGGAGCGCAAGCAGGTCCACCCACACACCACACGCGACAATCTTCATTGATCCGTCTCCACGAGATAATCGATGATTCGCGGTATCGCTCTTCAATTTCGAGCGCAATCACTCGATGTAATTGCACCGTCCGCGTCGTCGATCTTGATAAACTATCGCCCCGGTTTCTTCCTGGCTCGGCGTATCTTGGATCCCGGTGAGCCGAGATCTAAATAAATTATATCTGTTTATCTCTCTCCCCCTCCACGGGTCTCCTTGGGGCTTTTTATCGCGGGGGAGAATTCATCCATCTGCGCGCGCGTCTACCCGTCGTCTGTCCGCCGATTTATCAATCCCGCTTTTTGCGCCGCTCGTTAATTTCAGTCGAGATCGAACGGCAAATCTCTAACGCGGCCGTTGATTTACGGGGAGCACGCTCTCTTTTCGTAAGCGGTAATGGATCCGGGACGGAATTCGGAGCGACGGCGCGCACGGATTTAATCAGACACCCCTGCACGGAAAGTCGGAAAGCGCGCGAATGGCATTTGCTGCGGTGGAACGAAAACGACGACCTTCGCGCAGACGACCTGGCGGGAGACACACTCTTTCCTTGACGTCCGCCCCCGCGTTTCGGCCCGATGAGACAGCGGGAGCTCGAATTTCATTGGCCCGCTTTGGAATTAATTTTCCTCATATTTCGCAAGAAATGTATTTCACTCGTCATATCAGAGGAAGAGCGCGTATGACAACAAAAAGTCAACGAGTGTCGAATTGTTCGGATAAAAAATAGATTAGTTGGATTCGAGTAACATCTTTGGCGAATTAAAATTCGCGTTGGCATTCCGGAGGAAGAAGAGAAAGAAAGAGAGAGAGAGAGAGAGAGAGAGAAAAGGAGAAAGCGAAGGAAAAAAAGTGCAGTTAGAAAGAACAGAATGTTTCTTCTTTCAGATTTCCGGGAGGATAGCCCAGCGTGCCAAAAGTACCATCAGATAGTACAAGGATCTTTGCCAAATTCGTGCCGCGCGACAAGCGTCGTGACCACCGCAGGATCGTCCGCCTCGTTAACGTGTCGGATATGCGTTAAGGAAACGACGGCTCTCTTGCAACAGCAAAAGAGAGAGAGAGAGAGAAAAGCACCACACACCAACGAGACATCACGATCCGGCGGTCTCGCGGGCTCGAGAGGGTGGCCGTTGACGGTAGCCAGGAGTCGACAATAGACAGGCACCATGAGGAGACTCCTCCCCGGCGGGAGGAATTGATCGTCGACGACGACGGAACGAAGCGAGGGGAGATTCGACGCGGGTGTGGCGAATCGGGCCGGCGGGCCCGATCGGTGTGATGGTCTCAGGGTGGTGCCCGTGCGTGCCACTGGGGCGTCGGCAATCGCCGGCCCAGCAACAACAGCAGCAGCAACAGCAGCAACCGCCGTCGTCGTCTAGGAACTCGGCGCCGTTCACCGTGAGCGCCGCGACCGACCGCGCGGAGATGGTGCAGATGTTCTACTACGAGAACCGCGGCAAGTGTTGCAAGAAGCTGCTCAGATACAACGGATACCCGAACAAGGTCAGGCAAATTCCCTAAAACTTCGCTTCGCAATGCGCGACCTGCCCGACCGCATCTTCTCCGCTTTCCAAGAGCACATACCGGCGTAATAGCTTTAAAAACACTCGGTATATAATTAAATTATTAATATTTCCTAACTGTACACTGGAAGAAATTACTATACTTATTTTCAGCCTCGGCAATAATCTGTTTCTAGAAAAATAGTTCTCGACTATTTCCTTACTAATGATGATTATAATTACAAATATCAAATATTTTTCTCTCAGTGTGCACTTTATTTTTGGACATTAACATATATAGTTCTTACGATGACGGATTACTATTGGGTGGTGTAATAAATAATTTCGAATTTTTTATTGGAAAATTTATTGCAAAATTCAGAGTAATTCATTGCACAATCAAATATAATAACATATTGTCCTTGTTTCTTTGAATAATCAATAAATCAGTAATACGCACGATTAGAAAATCCTAATAACTTGGTTGCATTGCACGTTAAGTCCATTACGCCGGTTGTACAAGCGGAATTTGCGAATGTTAAGCGGTATCTTTTCATTTCGTAAATTTCCCCCCACGATTACCAACCTGCGAACGACCTTCTTCGCGATTCCTCAAGGGGTCCTCCGCGAGTGGCCCGCCAAGTAATATCTCCATCGTCGAAAGGGAACGAGATGAACGCGTTCGACTGTGTGTGCACCTCCGAGGTACGTCGTAGTCGAGCTCGAGTGGAGGGCATTAATTATTTGACGAGCGCCTTGACGAGGAGCTCCGTCTAGAAAGGCACTTAAACTATTCTCTCAAGTAAGTTCCCTCGCGTGGAGACTTAATGTCCGTCTTAGTGTTGCCCTCGTATCGCTGCGCCAAGTTTATGTACAGGTGAATCGAGATAGATAACGTTACCAACTTCCGTCCCCGTCGATCGAACATAACTCGGTCAAATTTCGAGAGAGCACGGTTGATTAATATGCGCAAGAAAGCCGATAACCATTGAGAGAGAAAAAGAGAGGACAGGAGAGAGACGCATAGCTGCTTCTTGCAACATACGAGGGTGAATCAAATATAAACGAGCCTTTTTGCGCGCCCGTCGGTGACGTGAGGGCTCTCTGCAACGTTTTGGACAGTGGAGGAGGGGAAGGCAGTAATAACATTGGCGCGCCACGTGCTTCTTATTCTCAGCAACAATCACGATGAGCGAGAAAGTATATCCCGCAGTTGCACAACGTGTTGTTATTAAGTTTCTCGTCAAGGAAAATGTAAATGCTGCTGAAATTCGGCGCCGTTTACTTCTACAGTTCGGAGAAAGGACCCTTTCATGGGCTCGGGTGAAACAGTGATGTAACGAATTTAAGAAAGGACGGGAGTTGAAAACATCCCCGCACCAGCATCACAGCGCAGAACACCGAGGCTGTTCGGGAACTCATCGAAGGCGATCGGCACTTAACTGTTCTTGAAATCTCTCAGGAACTTCAGTTCGAGCTGGCTATCGGTCAAAACGGCGCGGCATTCCGATCAGAAGTGTGTTGTTTCTCCGTGACAACGCCAGACCCAGCAATAACACAACAAAAATTGGCCGATATGCACTGGACTATCCTAGAACATCCACCCTATAGCCCAGACCTGTCACCATACGACTTCCATATGTTTCGGCCACTCAAAGAAGCCCTTGGTGGACAGCGCTTCACAACGAACGAGGAGGTGCAGCAGTTCGTGTGCAAATGGTTTTCATATACGTCCGCGAACTTTTTATGATACCGGGATTAAAAAATTACCAGACCGTTGGAGGAAGTGTATAAATAAGATGGGGGACTATGTAGAAAAATAAGAAAAATGTAAATTAGAATTGATTTTGAAAAATATCTGGTTTCTTTGCAAAAGGCTCGTTCATATTTGATCCATCCTCGTACATCGGTCGATGTAACTTCTCTTTACGGTGGTAATACGACTCTCACCGTGAGAATGTGACGTATCTCCCTCAGCCGCTTGCTCTTTTCATTATCGACTTTCCTTCCTACTCCTCCCACCACTCTTCCTCCTTCCGCCGGCCTTTCTTAATTGAATCTGATTTTAATCACGTTTGTGAAGAGGCCATCGTTCCGATCGCGTTATTTCGAAATCTCTTTAATAATTGACCTAACCAGATAAATCTACCCACACATCCATTATCTACCTGATGAATCTAACTCTCCAGCCATTCACCCGTTTATCCGTGTAATTAAATTGACCATACACCGTTCAATTGCGCACGGAAAACTCCCCGACCTAGGAATCGTATTTCTTTCTCTCTCTCTCTCTCTCTCTCTCTCGAAATCAATTATTTAAGGTACAAAGATGTGTCGTCCTTTTCCGTACGGAAAAAAGCACTAAAGGTAGAGAGATACGCGCGATCGTCCGGGGGTGCTTAAGCACGTAAATAAATGTTCGATTCGCCGAGCGTGGACATAAATTGCACGCTTCCTCCTCCTCCGCGCGAACTTACATCGAGTATTTTCCCTTAACAGTCGATTTAGGGGCGTGCGCGCCGCAAAACGTGTCGCGGCGATAAAAATTTAGCGGGCGCGCGCTCGAAACGAATGTGACCCAATGAACATTTCACGGTACAGCGATCTCTCGGTGTGTCTCGGGGAACGGCCAAAGTGCAACGCGAAGACGAGAGATAGAGGGAAGACGAGAGAGAGAGAGAGAGAGAGAGAGAAATAGCCGTTCCAAGTTCACCGCAGGGCCGGGCGAAGTTTCCGAAAGCCCCCGGGGAAATAAATCGATTCGATATCTGAATAGCCATTATGCGGACGTGGCTTCGCGGGATAAAGAGAGCAAGGCGAAATGGCTGGTCGGGGAGTGGAATCCGCGGCGGAGGCACAAGGAGAACCAGCCTGGCGGGGATGGTGGCTGCCTTATCCGAGAACTGGGCTAATGCCCCGAGTTGGAGAAAACTCTGTGCGCTCGTATCAGGCCGGAATTTTCTTTCAATAACCGAGTTATTATTCATCGTGATCATTTATTACTCGACTCCGGGGCTCGGCTCGTGTCTCGTCTTTCCGTTTCCGCCCTGCGTCGTCTCATCGATGTTACCCCTCTCTCTCTCTACCCTCCATGAACTCTCTTCTTCTCGCGGATTCGCCGCTCCTCTTCGGGTGGGTGAACCTCCCACTTCCTCTTGTGCGAGTCTTCTCTTATTATATTCCGGAGGAGAGAGAGAGAAAAAAACACGCGACAGGCGTTTTAACGAGGAATTTCCGCACGCGCGACTGCCCGTCGAACGTCGATCGATTATCACGGCGCGACAGTTACCTCTCGTAAACGTCGGAATTTTCAATTGTCCGATAACGGAAGTACCAAGCTTTCTCTCTTTCTCTTCCTCACAGATTCCCTATTTCCTCGCGTTCGCCTCTCCGCGAAATATGCTTCCTTCGGTATATCTGGCGCATCAATCTTGCACATTACGCGTATGTTCGGGACTAGGGGAGTCTAAGAGTTATTTCGGAGCAGAAATATGAGCGGTAAGTTCGCGCGGATATTCTTCCCAAAATTCCCAATGTCGGCACCATTCTTGTAATACTTCGGCCGAGGTATAAATGGATTCCTCAGATATCATTTCGTACCTGCACTTAGTACGTACATATCTATGTATGTACGCGCGCACTCCCTGGACAGTCCATAGTAAATCCATAGTCGGGCCATTTATCAGGTTATTAATATCGGCTTTTTATCCGTTTTTTATTTTTATCTTGCCGTTTCGAAGGCTCCGGGTTCACGCGATGCGTGAAACGCGTTCGATCGCGAGGCTTATCCCGGCGAAGCAACTCGGCCGCTAACCGTAACTCCCCACGCAAATATTATCTTATATCCTTGGCGTTTAATTTGCCAGTTCTTCCACGCCGTCACTTTCAATCATCGCGCGATCGCAGCGTTAACCGCGAAAGCAATGTGACTTCTAACAATAGTCTCGTTGGGTCCAATAATAATCCTTGATCGCGAGCGCTCTCTCGCTCGCTCACGTCAGCGTAGGTGCCCACCGACGACCGACATCGTAATTTGCCCCGTCAATATGTCATTGGCGACACAACGCGCCGGTTATTTTTACGCGCCCTTCGATACATCGACGCGGGCTAAATGGTAAGCATGAAAGGTGTTCGCTCACGAACGCACAGGGAAGAAACTCGCCCCTTCTCCGCTCCGAAAGAAAAAGACAATAATCTCAGGACTCGTTCGTAACGTCAGCTTTCATAAATCACAATCTCCGTCGAAACACTGAAGAAAGGAGAAAAACGCAGCCGAAGAACTTGTGAGGAATGCCTGTGATCGAATGAGGGAACAACGCGAGTCTGAAGGAAAGAAAACATCGCGCGCAGGATACGCCCGTCGGTTTTAATCCATCACGGCCGATGGTGCCGGTGATTAACGAGCGTGTCGTTCGTCAGGGGTGCGCGCGACTTAACGCCGGTGACACGTGTTTCGTTAGCGGCGACGGCTGACGGCATCGACTTTGTCGAGAAGGCTTCCGCGGGCGAGCGAGCGAGCGACGTCCATCGCGCGCTGATTAATCGTTCCTCCGCCTTTCCCGCCCCGCGGAAGATCAATGTGCATCTCTCGTGGGCAGAACGCCGAGGACCCGAACGTGTTCGATTGTCCGACATTCGGCTCTAACAACGCTAATTAACGACTTCTAATACGCCGAGATAGCTAGTTTGTGTGCGACCGTCGCGATTCTCCTTCGGGGAAAGGACCTCGAATGGCCCTCGACGTCCGCCGCCAAGAGGATCTCTTGAGAAAATGCGGTCTGTTCATGATAAACGGATAAATGAAACGATCACCGTGAGCGCAGACGCCACAAGAGAGAAAGAGAAGATGGACATTTGAAGGATTAATCAAGTTACAATATCGATTATTCGCGCGTTCGGGAATCATCAGCGGAAAGAACCGACAATAACGCACTTCACATGCTTTTTCTCTTCTTACGGTTCTTTCTCAAATGGCGAAAGAGACACGGGGG